CGATGCAACCGTGTCAGCTACGCAGCAATATGATTACTGCATTCTACGGTATACTCTTCGTCTTTGTTAGAAAGTACGCGGATGCGCGTTAAATGGAATGCTGGCGCCATGGAGGAACGTTCCGCCATATTCCGACGTCCCTGACACGGATATCGTAACCAGCCCCTTGCGAGCTAACCTGGGATACGCCGGCGCAGTGGTCACGGTGTGTGTCACCATCATGCTGAGTTTATCCGTGGCCGGTTCACTCATCGTCAACCGGCACTGGCGACTTCCGAAATCGACGCATGCGCATATGCGTGGTTGTGACCGCATTACGGTGCTCTTGGACTACCATCTCCACTGTATGAATGCCGATCTCGATAAATCCTATGAGGAAATTCCGGTAAAATCCTGCCTCGCTGTATTCGGTCTGGAGCTCCTAAGCGTGGTGACTATGTTTTGCGCCCTTGTGCTGTGGATCATCGGTTGTGTTTTGCCGATTATCTTTGTGTTAGCAGTAATTTCGATTGTGGTCGTGGCTGAGCTCGGTGCCGAAGCTGAGTACCCTTGTTGGGTTGGGTTTGTCTGCCTGTTGAGTCTGCACTGCACCGGCCGGCTCTGGGGATTGTGGATAAGTGAGGGCTACTTTTCCTGGATGCGCAAAAAATTCAGGTATGGTGTTTCCGCGCAAACTGGTATTTTTAGTTTTAACAAAGGACTCATGATCAATTAGTACTATATTAACTGAATCTGTATAAATACTGTCTGAGAGTGCTTTAAAAATGCGTTTGAAGTCGGAGCAGCAATAGTTTTTAAATAAGGACGAAGTTTACTTCAACGTACACTATTGCTGATTCCTGCTTTTATTTGGAAAGATCTGTGCTTTCTAGGAGACCCTTAGGCGTGGATGATCCTGCCGATGCCTCCAGATCCGAAGAATTCGCGGAGCCAGATGCCGCTATACCGACTGCAGCAGATGAGCAGGAGCGCGATGCTCATTATGATTCACCACCTGCTCTCGGTTGGACGATGGTTATCGGCTCTTTGACGGTGCTGTACTTTGTGGGGAACCTGGCTCTAAAGCTTCCCGGACTCATCTCCTATTCCACGGAAATATTTACCTCTCCACTACTAACTGTACAGAATGCTGCATTAACAACGAAGCGGTACTTCTAACGCTAGAGGTTTTATTTGATGAACCGGAGACAAAACTACTGAGTGTTACCAACGTTATTATGTAGAGTTACTATCCAGAAACAGAAAAAACTGCACTAAAGTTAGTTTGAAAATACTGTTTCAATGCCAGATTACTCCTTTAAGATCTTGGACCCCGGAAGCGCCATGTATTCGTACTGGCTCGAGCCTCAAATTCTAAATGACAGCTACGCGGAAACCTTATTAAAATTTACACCTTCCACTTCGGAGAAGTTTGGAGGCGGAGTATTCGCGATTTGGAGTACATTTGTGGCTGCTCTCTTTCTTCTCCCATCGGTAACTGTGGCGGTAATCGCGGTTGGTGCGGGTTTCTGCTGTTTGGTGCGCTGGTTCTGTCATGACAACACGGATGAAACCGACGCCAGGTATATTTGTACGCTTTTTCATGCACAAATTTCACTGGGTTCGTACATCTGGAAGATCGGACTCAAAAATGTACAATTCCATGTTGACTGTAAAATACGAACGATAATACATCTGCGAACGAATTAGGTTGGGTGGCGCCGGCAGATTTTCGTGAAAAGCTCCATCCGAAAAAGTTTAAAATTCCACGCGAGACTATCAACCTAACCGGAAATGGGCTAACCACACTCACTTCACTGGACAAAATAAACCGTTTTCTTTTTGAATACAGGGTTGTTGAAACTCTCGATTCAGCATGGCACAAGGCAGGAAAGGCAGTGGCCAAGGGATACGCAGACATGCATACATTGACCTCCGCCTGCGTCTGCCACCGAATGACCAGAAGTGTGGACGGAATCATCATCGTTCTCCGACGAGCGGCATGCTGGCTGTTTCTCCCGTTACCCGTATTACGACTTTTCCTCGCCGAACAGCTGCTGGTTCCTGGATTGCTAATAATCATGACTGGCTATCTGGGGTGGGTGTTCTGGAGCCACCACCAGAACGAACAGAGGATTGAGAGTGATGACTTCGAACGCGCTAGACAGCGGAGAGTATCTCACAGACAGTTACCGGCAGATCACCCACTTGTTGTGCCCAACAAGCCATTAGAAGCGACCAATTTCCAGCATGCCTCGCACTACCAGTCACGGATTCCGGGCACAACGGTTGACAGCCAACAAACAGCAGTTTAGATAGGGCATAGAAGCACTAATATTATGCGAAAAAATTTAGTCATCAGCATCACGGTTGCAGACAAAATTAACATAGAACAGTTTTATAAACTCAAGTTCAGTTTTTAATCAAACCGTACAAATTAAGCAATGCATTTATTAATTCATTCTATCTGCATTTTTATAGATAGCAGTGGTCTGTAGTCACTGTACTCTGTACACTATTGAATGCATTGTAACAGTGGGTCCCTTTGCCAAAAACTAGACAAAAAGTTCCTTATGTAGTCTGCTATACTTATTGTTTTTTCTTCATTTGTTTTGTTTTTTTTTGTTTTGGGTTTTGTTATCTGAAGCTACTTGTTTGCTAGCGTAGCGTTTTAACATTCTGCTGCGCATTCTATATGTGTTTCCTGCCTGGCATAGCTGCATTGTCAATAAATCCAAATATCGGAAAAGATGGCAAAAAAGGCAAATCAGCCAAGAATAATTATGAGAATAAAAGAATATTAATCTATGTACAAATTATAAAACAACAGTCCATACAAATTTTTATTAGACTTATTAGATTTATTTTTATTAGTCTTGGTATTCTTTAAAGCGCATCTTCCGGATGTAAAACTCTTGAACAAAACAGAAGTTCCTCGCGCTCCGAAATACTTTTGCATTGCTTTGCGTCATTCTCAGCCAACTCATTTTTGCACCGTGGTCTGCAACCCGTTTGTGCGCGTAACATCCGGTTGCCGAGATATGGCGCATTAGAGAAACAAAGTTCAAACCATTGTCCTGCACTTAAAGTCATATTCATATCCGATTTTTTTAAAACTTTGATCTATAGGACACATAGCCATATCTGTAGAGTCAAATCTGAAGCCGTATCAGGTTTGTTGCATTTTCTCAAGTTTTTAAATGGATTTAAAACATGTTAAATCCTTCTTAAATTTTATCCCCAAATATTGTGCACCTGATATTGATACAGACTTGACTTTGTAGCTAACAGCCACGTGCCTTTCACAGCAAACATTTAAGTACTCTGTAGATAGTGCACGTGACATTTTGTACATGACCGAAATATTTGAATTTGTGTCCATTTTAATTCGCCATATCTCGGCAACCGATTGTTTAGCCCACAAACGGTTTCCGGGCAATGTGCACAAATTATTTTCGACTGACGAATGGCGCAAAACAATGCGAAAAACTGCTTTGTCGTAAATACAAATAAAAACTAAATAAATACAAATCTATCAAATACAAAGCATCTTTGATAGACGTAAAAATAACTTTTTCCAACTCTGTGAAACACTCGAATGCGCCCAAAGCAATAACAGAATTACGATAAATTAAAACGCTGGAGGAAATAATGCGCCCTTCACCCACCTCCAGTTTGAAACGTTTCACCAGATCCTCAGCATTACTCAAGCGTGCCTGGGCCAGAGCTTCGCATCTTTTGAAACTATGGACAGAAACGAAATCTTAGCCCAGGTATGTGGCAGCATCAATAACATTACTTTTTATTTTGCCTGCAATTTGTAACGTATTTCACCAAGCCACGTGTGATCGTCACTGGCTTGATGTTCAATAATTCAGCACACCGCGGCAGGTCGATCGAGTTGTCCGTATTACAATCTTTACCGCATAAAATGAGGTTAGCAGTGCGGGCGATCGATAATCCCGGCTTAAAGTAGTAAAATGTACGACGGTTTACAACGGAGTGGCTATTGCATTTCAAAGCAGCGCGCGATGCACACACTATTGATCCGTTGATCCACACTGGAAGAAGCATGAGCACGTGGCGGTGTATTACCTTTTGCAAATATACTTCACACTTCAGTATCGGTGTTAAACGCCTAACAAACGTTTGTTATTATACGTTATCAGTCATGGAAATTTTAAAATACAGCTGAATGTTTCGAACATGCCGGCAATCAGAAATCTGCTATAGAAAAGTTATTGCAGAAAGATTTTTATGGGACATCGTTAAAATTATACGTACAACCCGCTGTATCACTTGGCGTCGGCGAAACGGTTCCCTCTACTAGAAACTGGGCACTGAAACAACATGCGGAAACTACGCAACGCTGTGCCGTGTTTCCTGGATAAGAATCGTATGCATGGATATCAGGAGATTCTGGCAGAGGCGCTGGTTGTGCTATGGATTAGCAGTCAAATCTCGGTTAAATTTGGCACCAGCTTTTTCCTGCAATGGCAGACGGGCCGCACCGCATCCGATTTTCCAACTAGTTTGGACACCGTTCTTGAACTTTTTGGATATGTACGTATATCAAAACACATATTATTAATGTAGCGGCTACATAACATCTCGTTTCCTGCTGATTAGTGTCACGCTTTGGTTCGTTGGTTTGTGCAAGTCATTTGAGACTCCAGGTAAGCAGTCTCTGCTCAGTATAACTTAAAATTAATATCAGTAGTAGTAGCATCATCTTCGCAAACAAGCGTTGATTGCTTATACATACACTTCGAAGAAAATGCCAGAAAGCCAGCAACCTCGAATTGACCACCACACCAAAGTCAGTTCCACAACAGAGTAATTCCCAAGCTCTTATTTATTTTAGCTGCAAATATGTATTACTACGAACTTGCTTGTACAATTTTTCTGGATCTTTCAATCCTGGCCCATTTTTTAACAGCAACCCGTACGCTACTCAGTAAGTATTCCACCAACGATACTGCGTATTGTATCATTTTCTTCTCTTAGAAATTACGTGGATGCGCGTTAAATGACATGCTGGCACACTGGAAGGAAGTCCCGATCGAAAGCGTGTTGTATTCTGCATTAACCGGCAGCAACATTGTAATCAGTTCCACGCGAGCCAACCTCGGATACACCGGCGCTGTGTTCACGGTGTGTTCCACCATCATGCTAAGTTTATCCATTGCCGGTTCACTCTTCGTCAACCGACACTGGCGACTTCCGAAATTCACGCAAAGGCACCTGCCCGGTTGCGGCCGCGTTACGGCGTTCCGCTTCGATTTCAATCTCGATGATGACGCTGATCCCGCGAAACATAATCAGGAAATCTCGTTGAGATCTTGGTGCTCTGTACTGGGCCTGCTACTTCTTGGTGTGGTCACTACTATTTGTGCCACTGTGTTGTGGATTATCTTCTGTGTTTTACCGGTTATTCTCCTCTTGGCCATCAGCCTAATCGTGGTCGTTGCGGAGGTTGGTGCCGAAGCGGGGTACCCATGCTGGGTCGGGTTTGCCTGCCTGTTGAGCCTGCACTGTACCGGCCGGATTTGGGGATTGTGGATAAACGACGGTTACAGTGACTGGATGCACAAGAAAATAAGGTATAGATATTCCCCAATATTGGCGATCTTCTACATAGTTCACGCTCATTACATGTTGATGAACAGGTTATCGAAACTAAATTCGTTAGGTTTTATTTTGAAACAAAACCAAAATGCAACACTGTTGTGAAGTACGAGTCGGAGTATTTTATTATCTTTATTACCTAATTAATACTACAGAAAACCACGCTGTTTCACTTACGTCGGGAAAGGTCATCCGCTCTCGGAATCGCCGGTCGTAATCTAACCAAATTAACAAGGGGCGTGTTAATGATAGGCCTCGAATAATATCAATGTAAGCGAAAAAACCGGGAGCAAGATCGGGATGATGAAATATGCGGTAACGGACGAAAATCAAAAAGGCCTCCAGCCAAGCGTTGAAACCATCAATCTTTCTACGACTGATGGTCGAAGGCGCTGGAATAAGCTTTCCCTCGGAATCGGCAACATAAGTTGATGGCTCAGTAGACGTATCGATGCCACGGTGCACGGGTTGGACTTTATGCAGATGTATAAAACAACGACGGTCTGCCAGCTGCTTGGATAGAGTGTTGTCCAGTGCGGGCAAGCCCATATAAGATGGAGGACGTTGACACCCACCTGATGACTGCTGAGATAGGTCGATGAATGGTGGCTGTGGGGACCGTTTAGGGATATCGGAGGAATTCGTTGCCGTAAAGCTGTAGGGCGAGGCTGTTAATGCAGCCATTTGGTTCTGGAGTTGAGTGATTGTCAGCTCTAAGGCGGCGAGATGGGCCGAATCAGGAGACTTTCGTACTGTTTGTTCTTCCGTTGACTTCTTCTTAGTCACACCCATGCGTTTTTTCGGTGATTTAACAGATGAACGTGTTTTTGGACCCATTTTGCGCGAAATGTTTGCGCGAAATATACAAGCAAAACCTCAAAATGCAGTATTACGATAGGTTTTCTCACAACAGCCCTACGCCCTGCACTATACTTTTAGCTTTCAACGAACTGCTTAAGTTTCGTTGCCAAGCACTACGAGAGCTCTGCGTTAACGACATTTAATGCTTTCAGCATTAAATGCCATTAATACTACAGTAATTAGATATGAACAGCAACTGCGCTGTAGATGGAATGACGAATAAGTACGACCGGAAATAACAAGTGGTACAACCTGTACAAGGAGAATTTTCGAAGAATAAAGGACACCATAACTGTGTTGGGCTTCAGCTTTGGGTTTTCAAGGATGATATGCGGCGTGAGTTCGCTCGCCGACTCCTCGGAATCCAGTGATCCCGCTAAGTCTAGCACAACTTCACCGGTTTCCCAAGAGCTAAAGCAAGATGCGCATTATGAGTCACCGCCCGCTCTTCCTTGTATGTTCGTTTCCGGCTCGCTGACGGTGTTGTACTATGCCTGGGAATTGCTCTTTTGCGGAACTGACTCTATCTTTGGGAAAAATCAGCTGCTGACCATATCACCCTGTACAGAATGCTGTATCAATGACGAAGCGGTACGTGTAATGATTCTTAAGTGAATATTTACTTCTTCTTGTTAACGCAGCTACTAAAAGTCAAAAAAAAAGCCGGCAGGATCAGCTGGTCAGTTTGAAAATCCCTATTTAAACAAAAAGAAAGTTTTGCAGCCTGCACATCCTTCACCCCACAATAGTGTTAAAACCTCGTGATGCTTCGAGGTGTAGTGTTTGGTAAAGTGAATGGGGCAAAGACAGGTTGCAACTTTTTTGTGGGTGATGAGTGAGAAAGTTGCTGATGATGGTTAAGTCGCTTTACGTTGTGTAGAGATTTCGAGATGGTTTACATATACTGTATATGGGAAACCGTTTAATATTCATTTTAAGGTTATCATATCAGGATCGTATTAATTCTATTAATTATGAATTACGCTTAAACCTGACCCATTACGCTGATAACAGCATGTCGCGAAGTGCATTGCTGAGATTGTGTGTGAGGCATATTCGAGTATCTGTAGGCGTCTTGTCGTCCATTGTGCTATGTTTACCATCCCGGTCTGATAATAGTAAGACGGCAAGATACCACCGTTTAATTTTAATTTTGAACGTACTTGCCCTAACCGAATTATTGTTTACAGATTCTGAGCACCGGAAGCGCTATGGCTTCCTACTGGTTCGAACCATACCCATCGATTAACAACAGCCATTTCGAAATTTTAACCAAATATACACCATACAACTGGGAGTTGTATACAGGCGGAGTATTTTGGTTTTGGAGTATAGTGGTGGTTTTCGCCAGTGCTCTGCCATGGATAGGGGTGGTATTTGGTGCTCTGATTGCGCTTGGCGTGGGGTTGTTCGTTTTGGCACGCTGGTTCTGTCTGGACAGCGCAGATGAAAATGACGGCAGGTATAATCACCGATGCGTTATGGGTTCACATAAAACCTACTCGTAGTGTTAATCGTGCACTTACGATTGCGCATACAAAAACGGTAAACCTGGATGAGGTTTAGTTAGTACTGTACGTTTTGCGTCGATAGAAAATTTTTCTTTCCTAGTTTACTAGCCCGTATCAGCCAAAGACGAGCTGCCGGCTCTGATTCAAAATAAATTAATTTTAACGTGCCCTTTCTTGATTCAGGATCACTGAGGGCCTCTGGACACAGGCGCAAAAGGAAGTGAAGAGAACAGATACGGAGAGTAACGCATCACAATTCAGCTGCGCGTGCGACTCAGCGATCACCATCGTCGGCTCGATCACCATCAGCATCCGACGAGCAGCATGCTGGATGTTCCTTCCGTGGCCAGTACTGCGTCTCCTCCTTGCGGAGCGATTACAACTTCCTGGTCTACTGATGGTTATGACTGGTTATCTAGTGTGGGTGTACTGGACCTGCTTTCAAGATTGCGAGAGACTGGACGACGAAGAATTTAAGCACGGTCTAGCGCGGTTAGCGCCACGCAGACAGTCACTCAAAGATTCTGAGTGGAGTACAAACAACAAGCCAACCAAAACCACAAAATGCCCGCACTGCCAACCAAAGGATCAGCGTACAGCAGTGAATGAGGGCGCTTCAGCTGTTTAACTGGATGCATACTCATCCTTTTTGCCGTAATGTCTGGAAAATAATGATTGTCCGAATACATACATTGTTCGCTGCACAGGCCCAGCCGGAGCTATCGACCGATAATGCAGTTTATCTATCTCCAACGGGTCTGCTGTCACATTTCTTCTATAACCATGTTATAGAAGAAATGTAACAACAGAATGTAACAGTTTATAAAAGAAATGTAACATTTCTTCTCGCTTGTACAAGTTGCAATTTTTTTGTAAATTTGTTATTCTAACGATGAGATCGAACTACCGAAAACTGACTGCTTCATTGCAGAGCAGAGCATAGCTCTGCGAATTTTGGAAAAGTCGGATTCTGCGACAGTGCTGCAGACCCACCCTGAAATAAAAGCGTTAATACAAGCAAAAAATTAAACAGACACTTCCGCTGCACTGCTATGAAAGTCCTCGGTGATTTTTTTTGTAACAGAAGCATCAATTTTTGTGCTTCCGGCCTTAATGAATAGACCGCTTTCCAGTTGGCATACAGCCTTCAATTTTTTAAATTTAATGTAAACCCCTAGGGTAGGCTCAACGTGTTACGCGAATATGTATTATTAATCGTACGATCCAGTATATATTAGAGTAATTATATTATTAAGAACCAGTAAATAATAAATAGTAGCGCAGTTAAAGGCAATATTCTTTTTTCGCAATATATTACTGCCAGAAGCGCATTCATGTCATCGTGTTTTATACGAAGCTTGCGCAAAGGAAAGTTAGTGTGACACTTGTAACGTGAACGCCGATTTTTATTGAAGAATGAGCAAAACGGTTTCATCGTGTAATCAAAGTGGGCGGTAAGTTTCCCGATAGAATTGTGGTCAGACGGTGTAATGGTTTGGCAGTCCCACAGAAGAAATAACAACTTCCTAAATTATGCGTTCCTAGGACACGCAAGGCTGCATTAGAGATACTGAACGGAAAATAGAATCTTAACATAAACAATAATATTGTAGTCGATGTGGTTCGGCGGTTAGACGCTATGGAGCGCAGCTGGCACGGGCTCGGTTCCCATCGTTGACTAGTATTTATATCTGTTATTCCGGTAACTCCAAATGAGTAGTAGTATTGATAATTAGCATACAGCAAAGCAGTGTGTTCCGCCGCGCTTTCTAACGTACAAACTGTGCTGCAACTGCACGGGAAATTGGAAAAATATAAGCTATATCCTTGTCCACCTGGTGTTTCTAGTCGTACTTGTTACATACTTCCCCCACAACTGTTTCTAAACCATCGATTCTGGGTGCGTAATAGTGCTGGGAACGGTATTCCTGATGCTTACATCCATAGATATTTATAACGTCGGGCCTGGAAAGAAGAAGTGCGAGTACAAGAGAAAGCGGCTCTCACTTACGCACGCTGAAAACAGGCAGTTGGAAAACAGGTGGATTTCATTTTCTTTGCAGAAGAAGGAGGGCGGTCCAGCACGATCTTGTGAGCTTTACTAGAGGAGCGATTCTCTCACGCGTTAAATTAAGTTAACGAAATCTAGTGCTAACCTCGAAGATGCAGTTCACGTCGTCTTGTTTCTGCTAATGCTGTTAAGCATTGATCCGGCTCCAACGGATAAATGCTGTCAGTGTGATCGATTGGCGTTACAATTAGAGCCCCGTAAAACATACCGCATCTGGCTAGGAAGTATACCTACAGCGGGTTTCTGACAGCTGTTGGATTAAAGCCAGTTTGAATTTCGCTTTGATAAGGTTGTTTCTGTTCGCGAAGTTAGTATTGTGGCGTGTTAATAAATACTGGAGGTCCAGAACTAACGACATGATAATGGAGCCGCAACGAAAGGCTTTCCGTTGGCCCATTTTTAAGATTGATACTTGGGCGTACCAAGAGATTCTGATGGAAGCCATCGTGGTGCTGTGGTTCGCCATCCAGATTTCGTTCAAATTCGGCTTACGAGTCCTTCCGGATTGGCAAACGAGTCGTGTCGATCCTAGCGTGCATGCCGGTTTGGATTGGCTATTGGATCTAATCGGAATCGTAAGGCACTATTCTAACCAACCGTATTTGTCAGGCACTGACAGCACTGTTCTACCATTCATTCTATTTTATAAGTTTCCAATACTACAAGTAAAAGAAGTGATATAAGCTTGAAATTGATGCTGCATAAATCCTCTGGATTTTTTTTTAGCAACAGAAGTCAAACTTGGCTAGACGCTTATATATTAAAATAACTGATAAACCCATTTTAGAGTCCTAATTGTAGCTAAAAAAAATACATTTATAACCGCCTCTGTTCCTCGATTTTTTAAAAAATAATAAAGAAAAATTTCGTGATGTGCTGTGTTCAGAAACTGAGCGGATGCGCGTGGGATGATATTGTTGCCATATGGATGGAAACCTCGGCCCTCAACGCATCCGGTTTCCATACAACATCAATCGGCTTAAATTCGACGCACTCGCCCTACTCACTGTTCGCGTACGCCGGCGCCATAGCCACCGTGTGCGCCACCGCCCTTTTGGGAGTATCGGTGGCCGTGTGTCTACTGTTTAATCTCCATTGGAAATCACCTCCGAACCCAAAACATGACGTTATACCTTTTTGGCACGGTAGCTTGAATTACTTGTCCCTCCTCGGTTACGCCAAATGGCTCCAGCCACATGCCAGTACTTGTTGGCCAAGCATCTGGCGTGCTCAGTTCATGCTGGTCCTGTTGGTTATGCTGATGGGTTGGATCGTCGCCATCGGTATTTTGCTGTTGTGGACAGTTGCTTATGTGCTGGTAGTGGTTTCTGCCATGGGCGTGGTGGCTGCGGTGTCGATCGGTGTCATGGGCGTGCAGGCTGTGTACCCGTGCTGTGTTTTTCTAACCTGCTTCTTAGCCTTGCACTGTACCGGAAGAATTTGGGGATTGTGGATGGATCAGACATACTCCGACTGGTTATGCAGAAAAATCAGGTAACACGTAAACATTAACGGGCAATCGATCCGAGTAACCAAGCCGACCACCAGACCTTCATGTCTTCCTGTTGCTTTGATCACTTACACCAGCCCAAATATTTATTATGTTCCAATTCCCTAAAATAATCTAAAAAACACTAAGGAATTAGAATAGCTGTGCAATCGCTGCTTAAATTCGTAGCTTCCTAAATTCAAACAAAATAATTCCGTAAATGTTCCACATACTTGGTTCCGAACTTCCGCATACCGCCATTGCCTGGGTCGCACCATCACATTATTTTTTATTTCTGAAAATTAAAAACTGAGTAAAAAAGCTTAGATCCGCATAGATAATCATCAAAAACTTCCACCGAGGCATTTTCATGGGACAGCCAGCAAAACAGGTAACCATAGATGATGAAATGTAAAAACTCGAGATATTGAAGTCTGATACACAGAGTTAGTTGGCGGCACTTACTGTATCTACTCGTATGTACCGTACTGTTTGTACGGTGGTGCGGCGATGGTCGCACAATTTGCCGAAGGTATAAGTGCATTGTAAAGATGGTATGCGGAACTTCGGTTAAATAAATTTTGCGCTTCACTAAAACTCACTCAACAGAAAAGGAAGCTCATATCAATCGTTTACGAAGACTTCAATACCGGAAACCAGCCTCATGATTCCCGATGGGAAATTTTCACGACCGGCCACCGCCAGCACCGATGAAACGTCGTATGCAGCGGTTGTCGGATGTTTCGTTGGCTGCATCGCGGTAGCTTGGAACATATATCACGTCTTCGTGGGATCGCACACCTTTGCGGCCACGGCGAACTACTTGGGTCTGCCCACCTGGGCATACTGGATAAGTGGAAATGGTAGCGCCTGCTCCGCTACGGGTATTACTGCCACTGTAAGCCGGCATTCGGTCCCTTGGAATGTTAAACTAGCTCAACAACTTTTGGGTGCAGGGTTTAGGCTATAGTGGTGCCATGTGGTCGTACTGGGAGGACATGCTCTTATTGCCCTTTGCCCGGAAACGGGGCATTCTTCTCGTAAATTATCCGGCACCATCGAGTTGGGGAGCGTCCTTGGTATTCCAAATCTGGACCGTGTTCATTATGATCGGCAGCATGACTCCGTTACTCGCCATGGTGCTCTCCGTATTTGGTGTGGTTGGTTGGATGCTCTTCTATGGTCCTAAATACATCGAACTGCTCCTGGCAACCAGGTATAAAATAATGGGAGGAAACTTTTACCGCAGCGGTACTCAGCGGTGGCTGTAGCAGTTTACCGTGCTGTAACCGTGCTACAGATACGCTATTATGAAAAACTGGAAAATACAAGCTACTCTGTAGGCAGTCGGGTCGCGGTTTAAAAGTTATTCATAAAATCGTTCAAGTTTCGCAACAAGTAACACATCTATACACTTGTAAATCGTATGCACTGGGACTGGGTTAAAAAACAGCAGCATATTTTGTTCGTCGAATACGCGCTAAGACGAAGCCGGAGCATTTAATTTTCTAATAGAATATAATAATAAAATTATGCTAATGAATATATGCTGCTGTACTTCAGCCGCTGCATTTATGAAATACGCCCTTAACCTTAAGCGTTAAGGAAATGGACTGTATCAGCAAAAACCGTGAATTTACAACAACACCCAGCGGTCCAGTGGTATCTTCAAATAAAGACCCAAGTCTTTTTTTGAATTCCAGATTCTGGGAAAGCGAAAAGGGGTATAGTCAGGAGCACGGTACGACTGGCGATCCGCCGCCATATACCGCCATAAGCCAACCTCCGGAAATCAAAAGCGATGCGGAAAATAAAGGTCAAGGTTCCCTTCCACTCGTTCCCGCCGGCAGTCAGCCTTCCTGTCAGCGCTGCAGCGTTGCACGCCATGTCCTAGTGTTTATGCGCCAAATGATGTGCTGGGTCTGGCTTCCTTTTCCAGCTACGCAGTTTTTCATGGGAGAAAAGCTCCAGTTACCGGGCATGTTGGTTCTGCTGACTATCTATCTCCTGTGGATCTTTGTGCATTTGATTAAGGAGACGAAGATGCCGGTGGAAGAAAATACACTGGATGTGACATACCAGCCCAGTACCGACGGTGCTGGGAAGAAGATCACTCTGCATATCAGTGGTCACGGGGGCAGTGGAAAGCAGTTGAGTGTGGAGACGATTGGCCTGCCAAAAGGAGCCGTGAAGGCGGTCCAAAGTCCGTGTGAGCTGTGGGAATGGGAAAAAGACCGGATTGTTATTACTATCGATAGGAACGCACTGTAAACTCGGTAAAATTAAATTATCAGACATATGCTTTAACCGTAAATGTACGACAATTCGCTGAAATGATTCGCAGATTTATTTTCGTGTGGCATTGTAATGGTAAGTATCGTCACTATGGCGTCTGATTTGTGAGCCAAACAGGCGAATTTGCGCTACAGGATGTAGTGTACGTTCTTTATAGTTATAAGAAGTTTAACCTTTTTTGGAATAATCCAACGTTTTCACTACTCATTTTCGGTTTTTATTATTCACTGTAATTCACCTAACGGTGCAGTTGGAAGGTTTGTTCGCTTTTACTCGTAATCGAAAGTCCCGTTATACAGTCGCTAACGATACAGGATGTTTGTTTATTTATGCTTCTGAGTCTAGATTTCCATCGTTATAATAAATGCTGTAAATATATAAAAGCTGGGTCACTGCATAGACAATTCTACAGCTATAACACTTTATTAGATACCACGCTACCAAGTTTAACGCGATATTCAAACACTCAGAACCAGCATTCACGGGGTTGCGATTCAACGCTTGCATTACATGATGAAACCCACGATACTCGGGTTCTATCCTTGCAATCATTTCCGGCAGGAAATTCGAACCAGTCAGAAAATCCTTAGTGGGCGGCCTCCATAAAACTGGTAAGAACCTATGGCTATCAGCAGAGTTCACTAAAGATTTGACATAAAAACCACATAATCCCGAAACGAAAATTCTGCGAAAACACTTCAACTCATACCAAAAGTTTTATCATCCTATACCGTGCAAATGAGATTTCAGCCTAAAATGCCTGAATACATCGTGCTTATTACAGAACCTACTGATAGATACAGAATTCCGTAACAGACAGATAATATAACTCTGTAACAGATTACGATACGAACAGCTCACGATACGTACAGTAAGCTGTTTACCGCACCGTATGCGATCTCAGGGGATGATTGTGACTACGAACAGACGAATGAGTATTATTTGCACATGTCATAATTATTAAGAGTGGTAAAATGGTGGCTGTAAAGTATATCCACCTTAAAGAGTACGTACTCATGGGTAGTCTTAACTGATGGCGCATCTGTCACGTCAATATTGATTTTACCAGATTTACGAGAGTAAACCGTGGGCTTGCCGCTTTACATCCCATGTTGCCTGCATATTCTGCTGTTCTTCATCTGACAAACAGGATCAGGCGTAAAGGTTAAACATTGCAGTTACAAGACGCTGGTGCGCAATATTGCAACACGTCAGAGAGCCAGCTCTAATCTAAATTAGATCCCTCTTTTTACTGTATTCTGAGAACGTTCTCCAAGATTCGTTAAACTTCCACAATGAGGAAATATCGGAAGACGTTCAGGCAGTGCTTGGATAAGAACCGTGCTTGGGCGTACCAGGAAATTATAGTGGAAGCCCTCGTTATTCTCTGGTTTAGCTGCCACATCTCCGTTAAACTCGGGACGCGAATTTATCCAGAATGGAAAGCAACGCGCCTCGATCCCAGCCGGTTGACTACTTCGGACAATGTCCTTTTAAGCGTTCTGAACGTAAGTGTTGTAACTTCTAACAGCTCTTTGCAGAGGAGGATTACCCAAGTTCGCATTAAATGTTTTATTATAATTATTCTTCCGAAAAATTTTTAGTTTCGTCGAGCTTAATGCTGCTGCATGCACTGATAGTTTAAGCCAAACCTTAAACGGATATTAAAACTATTACAAACAGCAAAATTGGTAGTAGATCGCAAAAGTAAAGAAAATTGCAGTAGATCTGGTGATGTACAACACATATGTAATACTGTATTTTTGATGTAGACACATCTTATAACGTATTTTCGTACCTGGTGATGTACTGTACACACATCGGTGATCTGTCTATCTAATGATTTTTTTGATTACGCATGAGCTGCTACCGAATTAAAAGCATCAGCATCACACTGCACAATTGTATAGATATACATAGTAATGATAGTACATACATTTTATTTACGAGGAAAGCCGCTGGCACGAATTGTAAATATTAATGATTGGTTAGGGACAAAACGGCTGCTTCTGGGACAGCATGGTTGCCAGCTGGAAACCGACTCCTCCAGTAATCGCAACGGGTAACGAAAACGTGGCCGTAACAAACAATACAGGGCGTGCCGTTGTCGGCTACGTGGCCACCTTCGCTGCAGTCTGCACAACGGCCATCGTGGGCGTATCCGTCGGTTTGTCTCTTTTCGTTAACCGTCGCTGGAATTTCCCACAATTCAAACAGCATCTCCCCTACTGCCAACGCATCACGGCGTTCTTCCGCTACGATAAGAACCGGCAGTATTACTGGGCGGATTATAAAGACCCCAACGCTTCACGGATCATTTTCGTGCTGCTGCACTTGGTCTTGGCGGTCGTCAATACGTTATGCTTTGTCTGGGTGTGGTGCATCGTCTGCGCTCTGCCTGTTGTTACGGCGGCGTCGATATTGGTCGCAGTAGTTATCAGATTCGCCGGTGAGGATGCCGTGTTTCCCTGCAGTGTACTGTTTATTTGTCTGCTGGGTGTACACTGCACTGGCCGCATCTGGGGAGTGTGGATGACGGAGTGTTATTCGACGTGGTTACGAAAGAAATTCGGGTACATAGAATTTTAAGTGCGTAATGCGTCAAGTAGATCTGGACCTATAAGCTGTTGCTAAAAACATCGCGCCACCGTCCTTCAACCAGCGACAACGGCATCTAAATTATATATAATTTAGATGCTGATATATATATCAGCGTAAATAAAATCAAGTGCAGAACACGTGCAACTGCAGCAACTTATAAGTACAAACAGAACAATTTTAACTGTAAAGTAGTGTGCCCGCGCTTTCACTTTTGTTGTTATGGCGGCTGTTGCCCAATAAACTATTTTACAAACAGAACAATACAATACATGTAAAGAGAAAATGCTGAACTTTTTCTTTCAAGTGCTATTGGATGGAGGGACGGACCCAAGCTCGCTGCACACCCGGTGGTTCCAAGCGGATCGCCGCACCCCATGGCACTGGAGAAGGATATGCCTATAAAAGAACGGCGCGCACGGCGTGGACACTGGCTACAGTACAGTATGTTCGTGTTCCTCTTTGCTTGCGCGATTGTTGATGGGAATGTGCGACGCCCCTTGTTCATGATGTTTCCACAAATCGACTACCTAGTTAGTACAGTGAGCGATACGCTGACAAGCAGTGGATCAAGCGGGACAGAAGGCGCACCAACAAACTGGACGTACTGGACCTGGGTCAATCGGACGGTGGAACACTGCAGACCCAGTCCGCAAACAGTAAGCAATACCGGTGCCAGATTTTAGTGTCTCCCTAATCACAACCGAAGCCAACGTTAATTATACATATACCAATTCGAATTTCTAAATAAGTTTCCCAGTTTAGTTGTACGAGACATAACCCCGTTAAAATGTCCTTAAAAACGAAGCGTCCAGAAAGACTTCCATCTTGTTCAAGAAACTTCCTTTACAAATTTCGAAGAAACAAAATGGATAAACCAAGAAGTACCGAACTTCTATAGACTTTAATTTAATAACAAAAATCTGGGCTGTTTTATAACACTCTTATGGTTAGCATAAACTGAGGGAAACTCGATGCAAATGAAAAATAATTGCACGAGTAGTCTTACAATTAAGAATTACCATGCGATGTCATTATAGTGGCTGAGGTAACACTTGCAAAGCAAATTCTCAGCAAGGATAATGAGTTTAATAATATTAAAGATAATTGGCAGGAACATTTCTGAGGTGAAATTCAGGCTGACCCCTGATTATGACAGGGTTTCGCGCAAAACCTAGCGATGATGTCGTATTGGACGGATCTTGCGTACGAAGAACTGCGGGGCTCCACGTCTAGCAAATCCATCCTTCTGATGGGGTTCGCCTCATCGTTGTCTCCCCTGGTGGACTGGATATCTATGGTGTGGACCGGACTACTGGTCGTGCTGAGCGATGCGCCACTTACTTTACTGCTGATGCTGGAGGCCTTAATCATAGGCGTGGTTATAGCGGTTATTCTGGTACTCGTCGCGGTCATCCTTGTGCTTACCGTCCTGAACTTCCTCTATACTGTCGTGGCTGCCGTTATCAAGTCAATTTTTCACCAAAGAAGAAGTCGGATGGAGAGCGCAACGTAAGTAATCAGGATAACTGTACTCGTACGCTGTAATAGTATTATTAAAGTAATTATCACGCTGTAATAGTATAATACAAAAGTAATAATAATGCAGGAACTAAATGACATTTTTGTAATGTCATTGCCTACTGTAAAGTAGCACGCACACCCGCAGTTGTATAACGTTGTATATTCAAAGCCAAAGCTCGGTTTACAGAGCCTACAGCCACGTGTGCGATACACACGCACAGTATAGATATATGGTACAAATTGTACATAGAATATTATACATGCAGTTGTACTCATACTTGTACTTGAGCTTGTACATACTTGTACTTGTGCTGTGTACAGTAAAAATACCGCTAAAAAACCACTTTTATGGTGTGCGTCGGGTCACCATTAAAATTTTGTTTACCTACGCAACTTTTCAACAAAAACAGATTACTGCACGAGACTGTAAACACACAAATACGCACACATTAACGCTTATCATTAGCCGGTGAGTAGCAGCTGTCCAGTCCAGCACAGTCTAGGACACATAAAAATTTTAATTAGCTGAAACGGTTGTTATTTTTTAGCCATATTCATTACTATGACGCCATGGAAAACGGTCAGATGGGCCCGGAAAATCGAGATGGTTCCAAGGACGATGTAGGTGTTGGTACCTGCTACTGCAAACACTCTAATCAAGGTTTCATCGAAAAGACTCGTGTTGAACCGTCGGAGCAGGACAAGTACGTAGATTGTTCGTTGGGCGAGGTCGATCCTGAAGAGCACCAGGCATGCAGCGCAAAACGACAGCCAGCGCTGCCGGCCTCCGATAAAATGAGCGATTGTGCTCAGAAAGATGCACAAATAATCCGAGAACCCTTCTGTGTGTGCTCGTTATGGGCCAATCTTCAATGCGCCGTCATCACACTCTTGCGTCAGAACATTGCCGGTGTAATTCTGCCCTTTCCCGTTGTTGCGTTCTTCCTACCGGAACGCCTACAACTCCCCGGGCTGTTAATGTTGCTGATGGCATATTTACTGTGGAATTATGGTGAAATGATTCGCATTTTGCTACAGCTGCTCAAAGAGAAACGCATCGATGATGCCGCCGAAAAACAGGAAGAAGAACAGAAACGAAAGGAAATGGCGAAACCGGAGATAGCCGAAGACTGTGCCAACTGCGTGGAAGATGGTGGAGCGAAAATCATTCCGATATCCTGCCTACCATTGTCAACGACATTTTCTGATACAAACATCACCCTATCGGACCCCGTGACTCGCATC